TATGAAACAGTCTGAGGACCCCAGGGCTTAATACACTTTCCCCTGAAGAATTATCAAAGTATCCCAGGACTTCGATCTTTTCCTACAATTCCCCTGGACTTGAACCACTGCCTTAGGAAGGTCTTACAGCTCTGGGAATAGGACAGTGTTGTATAGCAGTACCTGAATGTACATAGCAGTAATAGCTGCTCCCGTTGATGCTGGTATTGAGACTCTCCTGACTTGCTCAGTAGCCAGAATCTGTTTTCTGCCTTGCTGCCATAGCAAACCTTGGGGGATGCATAAGGGGAGGTTCTGGTTCACATACACACTGCATCTGGAGTAATTGCTGCAAGCTCCAAACTCTTTTCCTTGTCTGGGGAAAGCAGGACCCAGCAGTGATGTCCCTTCTTGGAGCTCCTGAGGCACCGAGAGGAGGCTGCAGCCCTGGTACACAGGAAAGCAAAGCCCCCAGCCCAGCCTGACCACAGGGTAAAACCTGCTCCTGACCCCAAGCGCAGGGGCAAGCCCTCCAGCTAGGGTAGCCAGAGGACAGTCCAGTTGTCCTCTGTCCTCTATTGATACAAACCAGATGCCTTTATTTTTCTCTTCAAGAGAAAAATAGAGAACATAAAGGCATCGGGTTTTGTATCAATAAGGGACAGAGTAGCAGAAAACCAGAGTGTCCTCTATGATGGCCACCCTCCCTCCATCCTGGCCCTCCCCTCCCCAAGCCAGTGCTGGTGCAGCCAGCCCAGCTCCCCCCACTCCCCAGCCCACGTGCCAGGGCACAGCTCTGCCCACGTGACCTGCCCAGGCTGGTGGTTGAGCCCAGCTCCCACAATCCGGGCCAAGCACAGGTGGTCTGAGCACATGCACTGCATCGTCTCAAGCAGCGAGTTGCCTCCGAGTCCCATCCTTTCCCCAGTGCATGCGTCTCTGAGCTCCTTGCAACAGCCGCCAGGGCCAGCGTGTACACATGCCTGCACCTGTGCACCACCCCTTTTAGTGTGGAACAGTGACTCCCCCTCACTGTAACCTACAGCTCTACCTTGCCTCTGCCCACTCCTCTATGGCCAGTCTGAAGTCAGAGTACAGCTGTACATTACAGCGTGTGAGTGGATGTAGCGCAAGAGCCTGAGACTGTTACAGAGGGAGGCAGAAGTACTAACCCTCAGGACCCATGCACTGGGGGCTGAACTAGACGACCCCTCTGGCAGAGGATTCAAAGCTGGCCTCTTTCAAAGCAACTGCTGCTCCCCGATGCACTCTGTAACACCAGTGCTGCCAGTTTGAAAAACATCCCTTTGTTCCTGGCTGCCAATTTGAAGAATGTCTCATTCTTCTCAAATGAGGGAAGCATGTCCATCAACTCTGGGGCTTCACCCCCACAGGCCTTCCTTTCTGAGTTATAAAGACAGAAGGAGCATACAAGACAATCATCCTCAACTGCAAGACGGAAGGCAAGAGTACTAAACTCAGTATCCCAAACGTTCACACTGTACCTTATCTATGTAAGTGGGGGGTTGATGGGGGGGGGATATGGCATATGGAGGTGCCAGCAGCAGTCAGAATTTAACAGCCAGGAAAAAGTGAACAGGGCCAAAGATTTGCACTCCTCTGACAAAACTGAAATCAATGGGTTAACCAACCAGGCTGGCATACTGCTCCAGACCCCAGTGAGAGACCGAGGTACTTGGGAATCTTCCTCTTACAGCTCAACAGTTACTACTTACTTCTTCAGTGACAAGGCACCTGAATTTAGCAATAAATTCCATTAAAAAATTCATTTCTTTGGCAAACGTACCATTTTTCCCCAGCTCTGAGTTTTAACATTCATGTGCTGTTATACTGGGGGGTTGCATTCTAGGACTTCCTGCAACCCACACCCTCTTCCCCACAGTAGGGCTGCATCCCCTTCATCACATGCCAAGAGCTCTGAATCAATATCCATTCCCCACCCTCTTTTGTTATTCTCCTTCACTTTTTGTAGAGAACAAATTACTTAAATTATCTAAAAAAAGTTGTTACCTATGCTGTTTGCGGTGTTCATCTCCAGTACCAAATTGGCCTGTAAGAAGCTCTGCTACCATCACCTGTAGATTTGGTTCAACCTGTCAACTCTGCTAACCAGTGCCAGGAACTTCAGAGATGCCAATTTCCTCTTTTCTAGTTTTGCTGGGACAGCAGCTGAGCTCTGCCCATTCCTACCTACAATATTCCCCAGGGTTTTTGGAGACAAGAAGAAAAAAAAATTCTACCATGTTGGGGACAAGGCCTTACCAACCTCACCACTTAAGCCAACAGTTCTCAATCTTTTCAGATCTGAGACACCCCTCAGGAAGTTAGCTCTTAGCTTTCACTCATTTTTGTTTACTACAGAAATGTAATAAAAGCCATTCTCTTGTTGCAAATATCTTGGATAGATCTCAACAGGGCAGAATGATTTTTAACACTATGTTTGAAATCTCTAGGACTATCTTGTGAACCATATTTGTACTCCTAACAGCACTAACACTGTGTGGCATCCCACAGCACCTTTGGAAGCATCTCAAGGCACCCCAGGATATTGTGGCACCTTGACTGAGAATCACCAACTTTATTTTACTGAAACACTCAAGAGGACCTAGCAGTAGTTTCCTTACACTACACATCACAGTTATCAACAACCTATAACAAAGGTTACTATGTTATCTAACTCCATGTTTCTGTGCCTTAAAGTCAGATGCCTTTGAAGTTAAACCCAGGAAAACCAGAGTTATGGTTAAAACTTGCTCTGGGGATAGCAATACTGCCCCTATCGTATGGTTTACGTTCTGAAAGTACTGCTACATTCTCTCAATATGAACCTGTGTATAGGAATCCTAACATGTGGTTACAGACATCAACTTCCAGAGAGGGTGGACTAATTTGACAAGAGATTCAGCCCAGTATTGCGTGCTGAGTAAGAAATATACTTGAGTCAACTTGCACCGTATGCGTACTGCACAGTTCCAGCTCTCCTCCCCACCCGATTCTGTCATCATAGCCATGGTATGCCACTAGAACGAGGCACAAACTCCTGTCACAAGAGCAGCAAGTGGTAAGGGAGGAGGTAGCATAAACATGGCCTTGCCTTAATTCAGTTCGCTTTATCCTCTTTATTCAGAAGTTGTACATTTCATATCATAGCCACTACTGCTCCTCCTGCCTCATGCCATGCAGCACTGCATGCCTGACCCAGAAAGAGAGAAGCTGGAGATCACACAGGGGGTTCTTTTATTCAGCTGAGGAAAAAGTTCCACTTCACTCCCCCTTATACAGCAGAGCCTCGAGCCCTGCCACAAACATAGCACATTAATACCATTATCTCCTACATAATATAAACAACCCAGAGAAGAGCAGAGAGAATATCAGGCCCCAAGGAACACCCACCATTCTCCGAAGCAGGGTGCGGGAGAGGCTGCCTGTGCTTCACTCTTGAGACAACTTGATAGTTAAAATCTAAGCATCAGTGCATATTTCAGAGCCCAAGGAACAGAAACTGAGGGAGCACAGGGGTGGGGTGAAAGAAAATTTGCAGAAAGACAAGGCAGACACTCACCTCTTTCAAGTTTGTAAGGAAAAAGTCAGTGACTACTGCACTGTGCGATGAAGAACAGCAGGCTGGGGGAAGGGTTAGACCCTGCTCAGCCCTGAAGGCACGGGCTAGAGCCCTCCCATCTCCCTCCTTTCCCTCCCTCCAACAAACAGGCCCATCAGCGTAGGATTTACTAATGCCCATCCAGATGTGGGAAAGAGAGACTGTGTCCCTTTTACAGGGGAAGCAGGCCCAACCTGTAGCCACTGATGGCAAAGGGCTGGCAGGAGAGTCCAGACCAGTATGGGCAGGGCATAGTAGCCACTGGCTGAAGCTACCTCTTTGCTGACAATTGGTGCAGTACTGAAGTCTTTATCAAATCATAATGCAGCTCCCCAGGTGAAATAAGGAGAGAACTCAGTATCATGAAGTAGTTTCACCTGCCAGTGGCAAGGCATTAAGACACAATGAGGGAGGCTCCCAGGCAGGTGCGCTACATGCAAAGGCTCCACACACTCTGCACTGTGCTCATTGCTGGCTGCAATAGAGAAGATTCCCTTGCTACCTAGGCCTCAAAGCAGCACTGCGGGGAGAACAAAGATCAGCCCATCGCTTCCTCCAGTTCCTCTGCTCCCCACAGAGACAGTTAATTCAAGTAAGATAACTTGAAGCAAAGGTCCAAAGTTGCTATAAGGGAAGAAGAACAGGGTACAGCCTCTGCCAATAACAAAAGCTATTCCCATCTTCATATGCACAGACAGGAGGTGGCTAGGGCATGGAATTCAGATAGAACAAGTCAGTGCAAACCAGGAGTGGGGAGGCCCAGTGGAGCAGGCGCATGCCCCTGGGCACAGGTGGACTCCACATGAAGCTGGGCGTGTGGAACAATTGGCCACTACCTCCCTTTTTAGAAAGAATTGTAATTTAAAAAAAGGGAGAGAGAGATGCCTTTCTTCCATTGCCAAAGACACTGCACCCAGCCCTCAAGGGCCCAATGCAAGGGAGATCAGGAAGCAAGCGGCCAGGAGGTATCTTTTAACTGCAAACCTTACACAATTCTCCACATCACATGCTACAGCAACTCTGACATGTTCTGCCTGGGTAGAGCAAACCCTTGCCTCAGAGTTAGAAGCAGCTGGGGAAACACTAGAAGACTGGGCTGCTCCACCCACCTTGCAGGTAGGCACCTTTGCCAGGTTTAGCTCCCTCCAGATCCAGGGTTTCTGCTGCCCAATGTAAACAGGGGCTAATTTTTTGCTTTACTAGATTGTTATGCCCAAGCACTTTTCCTAATTCAAAGACTGTCATGTGACTTGATTTTACAGCAGTAAGCAGTAACATTGCATCATGCTGCAAAATGCAGGCACTGGGAAACCCCCACCCCATCTTCACTGGTAACCGCAGCTCCTCCATCCCCACCTCTTCTCCTGGCCTATGGTAACTGAACACATCTTTCCACCCAGTGCTGTCATCTCTGCTGTACTAGCCTGTATGAGAAGGGGCACCAGTTAGCAGCACTGAGCAGAACACATGGCATCTAGAGAGCTCCTGGTTACAGCAGTCACTTTTAAGACAACAAGATGTGGGCCAGGGAGGTCTGGAGCATTCATAATGGCCGCAACTGGTAGCTTCTGTTCCACGGTTCAGAGCAGTGTGAGTTTCTGGAAAAAGGCCTCCCTCTTCATTGGTTAAACAGGTAGGGTCATGTTTGAGGGCATACCGATTCCAGTACAGATCAGAGTCCAGAGCTATTTAAAAAGGATTTAGGACATGGCCATTTCCCCCCACCCCACCCCAGACACATTAAAACACAATCCTGCAGTTTACTCCAGGCAATTCAAAGTGAAATCAGTGCCTCTGCTGACATCCCTGTGAGTTGCAGTCCCTGGTTCATCAATAAGAGCCATAACGATCCTGGGGAAGGAAACACACTCTTAGCCGCTGTCTACACCACACTGCATGTACACTAACAAGAGGACAAATGCAAAAGCCCTGAGCTTAACCTTCTTGGGTACCCAAGAGGCAGGGAGCAGCACAAAGCAAAACCACACCACCCAGAGACACCTGGCCAAGGGGCAGGTTTAAAAAAAAGCAGCCTCAACCTGGTAGGTTCTACCCAAAGGTGTAGTGAGAAAAATGCAAATTGTTTCTGGAGCAGCAAGGGTCCCCCCCACCACTTACTACAGCAGCCTGGAATGGTCTCAACCAGCAGGGCACAGATAGTAACTCTAGCAGAAAGCCATACAAAGGAATTTGCTTTCAAAACCACTACCCATTCACACATGCACATACGTATGCACAGGTGAAGCATGAGACAAATAAGAGGCTGCAAATTCAACTTATTTGCTCTGCAGTTCACCTGAAGATGTACAGTTGGGCAGGAAACTGATATCCAGATCCACCCCCAGTCCAGAGTCCCCCTTCCTCACCTGAAGTGAGTTCATCACACCATTGGCTAGAACAGCCATTTTCCCAGCAACAGATTTCACTCCTTGCTTGAATTGAGCGATGTCAGCTGCAGGTAGCACATTCCCAATTGACACCCCACCTGCAAAGAGCCAGCAGGAGGGCTGGGGACAGAATGCAAGAACAGTGGCCCCCCATTCCTACAGGTCTTGTTGCAGAAGACAGGGGGATAAGCTCCACACTGGTCCCCAGACATAGTACTCTAGACTCCCAGCTCCAGGACCACCCTTCTTCCCACACTAGGTGCTAACAAACCTGAATGTGTGTTCTCAGCCTCCCCAAAGAGGTCTGCGGAGCTGATGGCATTGCTGCCTGAAAGCTGCTGCAATCGGGACCTGGCTTCATACTGCACCGAGGAAAAAAAAAATAGAACAAGACTCAGATCTAGCTACAAAAGGCCAAAGCCAGGGTTTGAGCAGAAGGCAGGGTCTGTCCAAAGGTGGAGAACCAGACCAAGCATCTGGAAGTGGGTGCAGCAGGGCAAGGCAAGTGTGGCACTTACCTCAGCATCAGCTTCCCGCCCAAAGAACATGTCTGAGGAGATGGCTTTGGCCCCTGCAAATTTCTGCCGAGCTTCATTTGATTCCACTATGGATGCCCTGCTCTCTGCCTCCTTCCGATTGGTGGGTCTAAGGAGATGACGAGAGACCTCTCCAAGTTTTGCACTTACTGAAGCAGCCAGGAAGGCAGTTCATGGGCTCTGCTCCTCAGACTCCCTACAAACCTACAAAGCCACATGCAGCAGCTGCTGTCCACTAGGACAGTTTAGCACAACCAAATATAGCTAGTGGTCATGAAGCTCCTGTTGTATCCCCAAGCCATCCACTTCCTTGTTAGAACAGTAGAGGCCAACACTCCTTTTACCTAGAAGCCACTGCAGACACTTGGTATTTTCCATTTTCAGTGCTAGTGTTCAGATGTTTTGCCTATGGGGGTTTCCACAGCACAAGACTTGAGTAGGTGGACATTGG